TCCAGCTCTGTGACAAGGACGTAATATCTTCTGATTTTCAAACCTGCCTAACCAGCTGGGTCCGAGCTCTAAGATGCAGGTGCCTCCTGCTGCTGACTCCCTTCTCCCACAGCACCCTGGACTTTTCCTTTAAAGGACCCAATGCAGGTTGTAATTATATACTGATTTGTATGCTTATTGTTTAACGCCCAGGTCTGAGAGGACAGGAATTCGCACGTATTGCTCACCACTATATACCTAGGATCCCCCGCAGTGCCTGGTGGTGTTCAAAAAAAATCTGCTGATTGGATGCATGTCAGATGGATAGACAGATAATGGAATAAAAAAAAACATCATCTCTCAAAGTGAACCCTCAAAGTTTTAGGGCCTGAAACCTTTGAGAAACTAATTGGCTTCCATTTCTAAAAGAGCATGTGGTGGTATATCACAGGCTTATTAAAACCTTCTTCATATTTCCACTCTCATTTAATCCTTACAACATTCCCATGAAAGAGATAAAATATTACCGTCTCTGTTCTAGTGTAAATTCAGTAAATCTGGGAATCAGGAGCAACCAGCAAGCCGCGTCTTCTGACCCCTTACTCTCTTCTATGCACTCTGTACACCTTCAAGTGAACTGTACCTTCCCAGTTCTTAAACCAGCAGATTTTTTTTTTCTTTCTCAGCCTATGGTCATGAAAAGAATGCCAATTTATGGGAAATGAGTAAAATTTATGGGAAGTGAAAAACCTCTGAAGGCACTAACCTCCCTCCCTCCCCTTGCACCAGAGGTGTGCGGAGCGGGCGGAGGGGAAACGAAGCGGCAGCAGCAACAAACAGGACATACAATGAGTTAAGTTTGGGGTCTGTGGCTCCACCGAGTTCTGCTCAAACTTGGAAACGCTTCTGTTCAGGGACCAGCCCTGCCAGAGAAAGCAATCCCCAACACTTCTGATAGAGCACAGGAGACTACTAAAAGCTTGCTGCTACAGGCCACTGTGCAAGCTGTGGGATTCTGGGTGAATTTTGGCCTGATCTTCCTGACACCCCGCATCTTGTAAGTCTACCCCTGCTCTGCAGTTGAGTTCACTCCCTCACTGCCTCTCATCTAGCCAACCAGAATCATTTCCTGACTTCCTCCTGGGCCTCCAACGTTCCCTCCTTTCAGTGCACCTCCCACACGATCACCAATGCAATCTCAGATGTCACCCCCTCTTGGGATCTTCGTGGGCCCCTCCCACCCCAGTCCCGTGGAACTGCCACACAGCTATGCTTCAGTGGCACTTCTCTGATGGTGTTTCTCTCCAGGTTTACCGTAAACTCCCCAAGGCAGCAGTCTTGTCTATACACAGTCTAAAGTCTTAAAGGTAGAAGATACTCGATAAATGTTGATCAAATTGAGCCCATTATGCTTTATTTCTGGCCGTACCATCCGGCCTATTAGGGAAGCAGAAGGCTCAGTGGGGAGCAGCAAGCAGCATCTCTGGAAAGGAGCGCTGAGGAGCCTGAACGCAGAGGAGCCACTGCACCTATGTGGTACCAGGGGCTCCCGTCACGCTCGGCTCACTGCGAGCCAAACCTTTGGCTCCTTCGTCAAGAGCTTTCAAATTCTCACATAGGAAGCATCCAAGCATGCTGCTTTGCCTTGTCCCAAAGGCTCTCCGTTTATGGGCACCAGCTGCGGGTCTAGGGGGCCACCAGAAGGGGAAATGGGGAGATGGGCAGCCCTTCTCATGTCAACCCTTCAAAACTAAAAGGGGAAAAAGAGTCACCTGAAAACTACTCCCTTGCCCCACTTGCTATTAACAGAGTTTGTTCTGTAGCCAATGTATTGCTGGTCCATATTTGTGAGCCACTCAGTTTCCCTTTGCTAATAGGAAGGTTGCTTGGGGTCTGCTGTCCCCTCAGAGCTGGACATCTTCCCAAGGCCAGACCTCATGTTCTCACAGTTTTCCCAACTCAGAATAGAAGGCCCAGGAGCAACCTACCCCAAGTACCACATCAAGTAACAATAACGAAGACCGTATGTGATGCAGAGAGCTTCCCAACATCACTGCGGCTTCCCCTTCCAGGTCTCTCTTATGACTGGTCCAATCTGACCATGTGTATCAATCCACGATCCCACCACCTCTCAGGCCCCTCCACTCCCTCAGAACCCCCAACCCTCCTCACCCAGCTCACAGCCATGACCACTCTCCTCCATAAAACTCAACTCCCTTGTCCCCTTCTTGCTTTGTTGAACTTTCTTGGCCTAAACCCAACCTGCACACAAAAGGGTGCATCAATGTTCACAGCAGCATTATTTACAATACCCCAAAAGTAGAGAAAACCCAAGTATCCATGAACTGGGGAAGAGGTACACAAAATGCTTCTATCCATATGATAGAATAGTATTCGACAACAAAAAAGGACACCGACTGATACATGCTATTAACATGAACAAACCACCAAAACATGCGAAATGAAAGAATCCAGTTACAGAACCCCATGTATTACATAATTCTACTTACATACATACAACTGGCAAACTTAATAATTATTAAATTGTACACTTAAAATGGATGGATTTTATGGTATGTAAATTATACTTCCATGAATTTGTTTTAAAAAACTAAAAAAACCCCTCTGGTTAAATTCACCTGTTCTGTGATTCAGCACTGTGGCTCTCTCTACAGCTGGAGAAGAAAAAAAGCAACCACACTGGCCCCACTTAAAACTCAGGTGGGTTCTTGATCTTGTCTTCCAATCATACTGTTTGTTGAGCTTCTTTGTTTCCTACTCGCCTCAATTATCTCCCTCTCCTTAATTCTCTGACCTCATCCCCATATAGTCCCTTCTCATCTGATACTCCTAACTTCCTGCTTCACCGAGAAAACAGGCCAGAGAACCTCCAGACTCCCGTTATCACACCGACCTGCTGCCGGTTCCTAGTCTGCTCTCTCTAGCAGGTACATGTGACTATTTAAATTAAGATTAAATAAAATTAAAAATTCAGTTCCTCGTGCACAGTCATCACATTTCAAATGTTTAAAAGCTACATGCAGCTCCTGGCTCCTATACTGGCCGGTACAGACACAGAACCTCTCCTTCACTGCAGAGAGATGATCTACCTACCGCCCATCTGTCCAAAACATTTCCGCTACTTACAGGTATGTCTCTTCTCTCCCACCTTAAGGGCACTGCTCCCGCAATTCCTTCCTTTCTCCTACATAATCACTTTTCAGCTAAGAGGTCATTTCCATTGGCATACAAATATGATCGTTACTGAAATAGGTAATAGATAATGGCATTCTCAACAGAAACACGAATAACGAATATGTGATATGATAAAGGTGTTAACTGATACTACTGTCACAATCATATGGCAATACATGAACACATGTGTACACGTTAAACTTACAAAACGCATATGGTAATTTTTTAAAAAGATAATGGTAAGGATTGCGCAACACTGTAAATATAATTAATGCCACTGAATTATACACTTAAAATAGGTAAAATGGCAAATTTTTTAAGATTTGTTAGAGAAAGAGTGAGAGAGCGTGCACACAAGCAGCAGGAGCTGGGGGCGGGGGGGGAGGGAGGAGACTCCCCACCAAGCAAGGAGTCCCACGTGGGGCTCAATCCCAGGACCCTAGGATCATGACCCAAGCCAAAGACAGACACTTAACTGACTAAGCCACCCAGGGCCCCTAAAATGGCAAATTCCATGTTTCATATGTATATATTGTATATATACTACCACAATTAAAAAAGGATTTAAGGATAAAATCATCTCTCATCACTTTTCCTACAGTACCACCCACCATCAGCTATAGCCCTATTTCTCTGCTTCCCTCTGCTTCTCTGACTTCTCTCTTTCACCATCTCCAATTCTACTTTTGCTCTCATCCTCCTCATCTCTCAAGTCACCACGCCTCTACCACTCCACCAAAATTGATTTGATCAGCTGCCTAACCCAATGAACAGTTGTTCTTCTTCAACTTTATTTATCAGCAGCTTCTGAGCACTCCCTCCTCCTAAAAACCTTCTTCCCTGCTTCTGAGTCCCAGACCTGCCTCTCAGGACCTGGTCCTCTAGCTTTTCCTTTCTGCAACTCTGCCCACCAGGCCTCCCTGGACTTCTACCCACAAAACACCTGACTCCTCCAACTCAACCCCATTACTCCTTCACCTGACGGCCCTGACTTCCCTCTTGTCATTACTTCTCAGGCCCTTCTGAAGAGCCAGAAAAGCCCTGGTCTATTTGATCCCTCTATTTTTTTTTTTAAGATTTTTATTTATTTATTTCTTTGACAGACAGAGATTACAAGTAGGCAGAGAGGCAGGCAGAGAGAGAGGGTGCGGAAGCAGGCTCCCCGCTGAGCAGAGAGCCCGATGCAGGGCTCGATCACAGGACCCTGAGTTCATGACCTAAGCTGAAGGCAGAGGCTTAACCCACTGAGCCACCCAGGCGCCCCGCATTTGATCCCTCTATTTAAGATCAAGTAAGGCCTACCCCTTCCTTGACTGAGCCTTAACCCTAAAAATAATGGATGTGAACTTCTAGCTCCTTAAAGAACATAGTCAATCTTCCTAACAATGTTATAATACTCTCAGGAAGATAGTTGAAGTTGATTGCCAAAAGTCATCCATGTCAAACACTTATTTGCATTGTCTCCAGTGGATCTGTTTTAGTTAGGTTCTTTTATTTGGATGATACCTGAATAAATTTTGCATTCAGTGCCTAGAAAAGGAGAGCACTCTTTTAGATTTCTCAGGAAGCTGGACAAGAATAGAAGATGTGTTTGGGTCCATATAAAAAGGAAATGATGGCTATTACAGTCAGCCCAAGACTGGAAGTTATTCAATCAAGATTCTAATTTTCGCCCTATTATTCAATCTTAAAAAGGATACATTGTATAACATGGATGAACCTTGAAAACATGATGCTAAGTGAAAGAAGCCAACCACAAAAGACCACATATGGTGTGACTCCATTTACATGAAATGCCCATCTCTAGTTCATCTCTAGCCACGTACCTAGAAGCATCAAGGAATGGTCTGTAGGCCAAGCTGATCCATTCTTCTCTATTTGATGAGTATTTCGGCTCCCGGGGCGTTTCTCTCGTGGTGTCCAAATCCACTAAATAATGGCATTTACTGATGTCAATCTGCAATGGAGAAAGGCCAACACTTCATCAGCAATTGCAAAGGTCCTTTTAGGATAAGGAACATCAATTACAATCCTAAAAATTCCCACAGAGTTTCATAAACACAAACCTCCAAGTCCTTGGACAACATTACCTGTGCTCTCTCCCCTCAGATGATAGCGTTGGGTGCTGGGAAATTATTTAGGCTCCTGGTTGCAGGAGAGAGACATGTACCCACCCAGCCAAATATATAGGTAAGCTTTGGGAGTTCTGACACGAGTTTGGGTATTAAATTCCTCTGGCCTCACAGGCACTTCTGAAGCTAACATGAGTCCACAAGCTACTCAGAAAACTCTCTTCTTCTATCATTCCCTTCCAATCTACCACCTCTTATCGCAGAGACTGAAAGCGCATCACCTAACCACGTACGCTAATGTGTGAGGAAGCCCTATGCCTGCTGACAGAGCCATGTGAGGTCACCCTACACCTCCTAAGTGGCACAGCAATATCACACATCATCATCTGCTTCACAAATTCAAGAGAACTGACAGAGACACGGGAACTGGCATCATAGCAAAAGATCAGTAAAACGGGGACGCCTGGGTGGCTCAGTTGGTTGGACGACTGCCTTCGGCTCAGGTCATGACCCCGGAGTCCCGGGATCGAGTCCCGCATCGGGCTCCCAGCTCCACGGGGAGTCTGCTTCTCTCTCTGACCTTCTCCTCGCTCATGCTCTCTCTCACTGTCTCTCTCTCAAATAAATAAATAAAATATTTAAAAAAAAAAAAAAAAAAAAAAAAAAAAAAGATCAGTAAAACGGAGATATCAGAACTGTAAGAGTGGAGAAGGTTACAAAAAATATATAGCAACTATTAGCAAAACTATAGCCATCCAGCTGCTTTCAACAGGGATACATCAGAGCATCACAGGTAATCATAAGAGAATATTAATACATTTCACTTAAAACTATACAAGTACCATGCTTCTCACAGAATTGACTAATTGAACAGAACATGCTATGATATTCTGCTGTTAAATAGTCCCTAGTTCCTAGTCCTAGCCAAAAATCCCAAGTATATGACAGAGCCAGATCTGGACCCAAGTCAGTATGACTTCAAAAGTCCTATCAAAACTGGCCCAAATGACTGATTCAGAAGGAAGGTGCTCTCAGGAGCTCATCTAAATGTTTCTTACAAACTAAAACCAATGAAGAGTCCTCCTAGAATGCCAGGTGTCAGCTAAGATAAAGGCCATTGGAAACATAAACAGATTTATAGCAAACCTCATATTTAATGGTAAAGGGTTGAAAGTTCTTCCCTTGCGAACAGGAATGAGTCAAGACTTACCACTACTTTATTCAATATTGTACTAGAGATTCCAGTCAGCAGGGTAAGGTAAAAGAAAGAAATGACAGAAGACATGGAAAGAGATGATAAAACTCACTCATCACAATGATAGGACTGGTATATAAAAAAACTGGTTGCCCAACAAATGTTTGGAATTCAGAGAGTTTATCAAACTTTAGACTTACAGGATGTAAACATCAATGTCATATATTCCTACAGAACAGCAGAAAATATAGACAATGTTTTTATTCTTCAAAATTATGTATGTTTTTTATATTATAAAAACATAATTCATAAGAATATGAAAGTGTATGCCCTGGAATAAATCTAACAAAAATATGGGAAAGTCCTCTATAAAAAATTATGGAATTTCATTGATAAATATCTGTCAACTGATCAATTTATAATGTGGTATATTCATACAATTAAAATGTGGCAAATACATGCAATGAAGTATTGTTCAATCTTAAAAAGGATACATTGTATAACATGGATGAACCTTGAAAACATGATGCTAAGTGAAAGAAGCCAACCACAAAAGACCACATATGGAGTGACTCCATTTACATGAAATGTCTAGAACAGACAAATCTATTGAGACAGAAAGCAAATTAGTGGTTGCTAGGGTCGGGGGAAGTAAATGCTTAATGGGCATGGGGTTTTCCTGGGGTAAGGGGTAGGGGAAGGATGAAAATATTCTGAAATTAGTGGTTATGGCCTCACAACAGTATGAATGTACTAAACAGCACAGAATAGTGCACTTTAAAAATCACTGCTTACCCTAAGATCCAGCACCTCCATTTCTAGTACCCAAAAGAATTGAAAGCAGAGACTAAAAACAGGTTTGGTTTTTTTTTTAGATTTTTATTTATTTATTTGACAGACAGAGATCACAAGTAGGCAGAGTTGGAGGCAGGGTGGGGTGGGAAGCAGGCTCCCCGCTGAGCAGAGAGCCCAATGCAGGGCTCGATCCCAGGACCCCGGGACCATGACCTGAGCTGAAGGCATAGGCTTTAACCCACTGAGACGCCCAGGTGCCCCAACAGATATTTATTTTTATATACTGATTTATTTTTAAGATTTTTATTTATTTGACAGAAGAGGGAGAGAAAGGGAATACTAGCAGGGGTTAGCAGCAGAGTGACTGAGAGGCCCAATGAGGCCCAACGAGGGGCTCAATCCCAGGACCCTAGGTGCCCCAAAACAGATATTTATATCCCAATGTTCACATTAATCACAACAGACAAGAGGTAAAAACAACTCAAAAGACCATCATGGAGGGGCGCCTGGGTGGCTCAGTGGGTTAAGCCGCTGCCTTCGGCTCAGGTCATGATCTCGGAGTCCTGGGATCGAGCCCCACATCGGGCTCTCTGCTCAGCAGGGAGCCTGCTTCCTCCTCTCTCTCTGCCTGCCTCTCTGCCTGCTTGTGATCTCTCTATCAAATAAATAAATAAAATCTTTAAAAAAAAAAAAAAAAGACCATCATGGAAGAATGGATTAAAAAACTATCTAAGGGGGGCTCCTGGGTGGCTCACTGGATTAAGCCTCTCTGCCTTTGGCTCAGGTCATGATCTCAGGGTCCTGGGATCGAGCCCCGCATCGGGCTCTCTGCTCAGCAGGGAGCCTGCTACCCCCCCTCTCTCTCTGCCTGCCTCTCGGCCTACTTGTGATCTCTCTCTCCCTCTGTCAAATAGATAAATAAAATCTTTAAAAATAAAAAAAAAAAAAACAAGAAACTATCTAAGGCGTATCAATTTTCAGTTTGAAATGATTAAAAAGGTCTAGAGAGGGCACCTGGGTGGTTCAGTGGGTTAAAGCCTCTGCCTTCAGCTCAGGTCATGATCTCAGGGTCCTGGGATTGAGCCCCCATCGGGCTCCCTGCTCAGCAGGGAGCCTGCTTCCTCCTCTCTCTCTGCCTGCCTCTCTACCTACTTGTGGTCTCTGACAGTCAAATAAATAAATAAAATCTTTAAAAAAGAAAAAAAAAGGTCTAGAGATAGAGAGTGGAGACAGTTATACAACAGTGTGAACATGCTTAATACCACAGAATTGTATCCTAAAAACAATTGAAGTTGTCAATTTTATCACAATCAAAATTTGTTGAAATAAATTTTAATCTCAAAAAATTTGACAGTAAAGTATTAAATGGAGAGATAAACCTTAGTCCTAAACAATCACTGTTATAAAGATGCAAAGTCTAATAAATAAATTGATCAATATAGTAAATGCAATCTCAAGAATTCCATCAAACTTTTTTGGTGAAACTTGATAAATTAATTCCAAAATGTATAAGGAAATGTATAAGGACAGCCAAAGCACCATTAGGAAAGAAAAGCAAGGTGATGGGCTTGCTATAAATTTAGAGTAATTAAGATGAGAAGTGTTTAGTGTAGGAATAGATTGAAAGACTAATGAAGAGAATAGAGCCTAGAGTGGATGCAGGATGATTTATGTCCCAGTGATACCTCAGGTCAGTGGGGAGAGGATGGGCTTTTCACTGACCGGTGCTGAGACAACTGGATACCCACTGGGGGAGAAAATGGACCTCAACCTCACTCCACTCACAAAAACCAACTGCAGATGGATTACAGAACTAAATGAAAAAGGCAAAATTACAAAGCTCTTGGAAGGTAACATCAGAGAATATCTTCAAGATCTTATAGAAGTCTTTTTAGACAAGACACAAAAAGCATGAACCACCCAAAAAAATGGATAAATTTGACTACATTAAAATATCTATTCATCAAAGACACCCTTCTGAGAGTGAGATGAGCCACAGAATGGCGAAGAAATATGTAACAAATTCAACCATCAAGGATTCCTATGTAGTACATGTAAAGAAAACCTGCTAGTCAACCAAGACAAAGACCACCCAATAGAAAAATGGGCAAATGACTAAGGTACTTAAGAAGAAATGGGCAAATGACCTGGACGGGTACAAAGAAGAAATCTAAATGGCCAAAAACAAATGAACAATGCTCAACCTCATCAGTAATCAAGGAAATGCAAATCAAAATCACAATGAAACTTTACAATACCGAGTGCTGGCCGGAATGTGGAGCAAATCTATCCCTTGCTGACAGGAGATTAGATTGGCACAACATTTTTAGAAAATTATTTCACAGAATCTACAAAAATTGAACACATACATTTGCTATGATCCAACATTTATATCCCCAGGTTTTAGACTGAACCGTATGAAATAATTAATATTTCACTGTTTAATCCATAGAATTGGTAATTTCACTGTGGTTCAAGCTAATGTATATCCAATAGAAATACATGCCCCAAAAGACAATTCAAGAATGTTCAATGTGGCTTTATTTGCAGTTGGCCCAGACCAGAAACAGCAAACATCCATCAACAGTAAAATAATACCCTGTGGTACAGTCACACAAAGATATACTATGCAGTAACAAAAGAAAACAAACTACAGCTACATGCAACAACATGTGTGATTATTATTAACAACGTGTTGAGGGAAAAGACCAAAATGCAAAAAAAAAAAAAGAAAAGAAAAGAAAAGAAAAAGAAAATGCAGTATGATTCCATGTACATGAAGTTCAAAAACAGCCAAAACTCATTTAAATCATTTAGGAATGCATATAAAAGTGGTAAATCTAGAGAGAAGAGCAGGGAAATTATCACCATATAAAGTCAGTTGAGCCCCCCTGA